TGGCGCCAGCAAACAGAGACTGGCGCCAACTTTTAACTGTAGCGCCTGGCGCCAATGCTGGCGTCTGGTGCTACGGCTAAAAGTCTGGCGCCAAGCTCTGGCCCCTGACGCTACTTCCCACATGCCTCAGCAGCTTTATGTGCTCAATAAAATCTTCTAGTTTCGCGCGGTGTTATTTCAGTCCTAGTTGTGAAAGACATTCCTCAAATTTCCTACGTGTAAAATCCTATGTTTTTTACTCATTACGGATGGTCTTTCCAATGAGATCCTTTTTATGCATATGACAATAATGTTAATCAAAATTAAGCACATGAAATACTTAGAACTTTTTGAGTCTCATCCACTCATTCTAAATCATTGCCGAAATAAATTCAGGAATTAAAATAGAAATCCTCCCCAGTGGAGTCGCCAAAAACTGTAGGGAATAATTTCAAGCCTTAAAATCCCAATAGCTTGAACCCCACTGTGATCATACACTAAAGTACGGTGGCGTCCAAAAGGGAAGAAGATAGAGCAAAAGAGTCGCCAACAAGTTTTTAAGGAACTTGTAAACCGTTCATAGGATGAAGGTTACACCCCTTAACGATCCAAGAGATCGTCAACTCCATAAGGTCATGAACCAAATAAGGGTCCGGGGATGATGGTACAAATCCAACCTAAAAGAGATTGAACCTGCCCTAATAATAGGCCTCTACTTTATTCTGATCGTATTCATGTGCGCTTTCTGATTAACATGCAATCAATAGGATTAACCCTAAACCTGTTTAATCTATGTTGGTTGAATATTAATGCACAAATAAACTTTATTGGCGATCACTTGAATTTATAATCACATTAATCCTAACAAGATTATTAATTATCTTATTAAGCATGATTACAAATACAAATTCTCTTTAAGAATGCAATAAAAAGGTGATCAAGCAATAAAGAATAAATAATCAAGCAACATAATAAATAATCAATATCACAACAATAAAATTATAATCAAATTAATCATTATCAAAATAATAATAAATTATAACAATTATAATCATAATCATGTTCATGTTAATATTAAAGCATAATAAACATAGCAAGAACCTAGGCATGATACTAACAAGATTAATAACAAACCCTAGCATGTCACTAAGCAATAAAAATCAAATCTTTAACCCTAACATGATACTTACAATCATAAATATTCGGAAGAACATAGGAAGCATCACAACAATCATATTTAATATTAAAATTACCTAGACATGATACTAGGAATATCATAATAACAATATAAACATGATTTCTACATCATAACATCAATTAAAACATTAAAGCACTTACTTTGATGCTTCGTATCTCTTTCTAATAACAAAATACACACGTTAGTAACTTCAAGGAAAATAATAATCAAACAAAGCAATTAAATTAAATAATTGAAATAGAGATTTGGAACCAAACCCTCAGAAATTAAAACCTTTCACGCCTAGGGCGAAGGCAACTTCGAATATGGCTAGGTGTTTCTAGATCTTGCGAATGCGGAATTTTGTATAAAAAAGTAAGAAAGAATTGAATGAAAGAATGCTAAAGAATTAATGATTGTTGATGAAAGCTTGAGAATGAAGAGAATTGGTTGTAGGTGAATGTAGATGATGAATTGGTGAAAATTGGTGAATATTGGTGAAAATTCGTGCATGAAAACGGAGTTTTTGATACGATATTTATAGAGAAAATTAGCCAAAAAAGATAATTTAACAAAACAGAGTGACGCACGCAAAACAAGGTTGGCGCCAACCCTGGCTAGCTGGCGTCAGTCACCAATGGCTAGCGCCAGGCGCCAATGGCTAGCGCCTGGCGCCAAGCCTGGTTCCAGGCGCCAATGCCTGGGGTTGGACGCCAAACTAGATCTTAACGCGTTTTCGAAAATCTGATAAATTTCCCGTACTGGAAGATAAAATAATATAATTCCTTCGAAAATGCTATTTGATTTTGATTAAAACTCTGAAAAGTCAACAAAGTCAATTTATCAATGCTAATTGAATTAGGAATGAAAAGAACCTTCTAGAAGATTCTAGAAGACTAAAAGCATTCCTAATTGCATTAGGAATGATAAATCACATTAGGCCCTCCCCAAGATCATTGGGCCGCACATAAAGTTCAAACCGGGCCTAGCTTAGTAAATTGGCCATAACTTCCTCAATATTCATCGGAATTGGGCTTATAATATATCGTTAGAAAGGTCTTTGCAAGCCCCATGCAACTACACTACTATTGGACCCATATCATGGACCAACCAAACTAGATTGGCTGTTTTCTTAAAATAAAGTTTTCAAAAACAGAGAGAAGAGAAAAATAAAAACTTTCCGCAACACTAGACCTTTCCACACTTTCGTTTTATTCGATTATGATTCGATGTGAAAGGTACTCATCACTGAGTTTGGTTTTGGGGAGACACAAATGGGTGTCTACAACCACCTATACAGATAGGTGGCACACCGACCTTGTAAATAGCAGGTGCCTACGCGGCACCAAACAGTTCTCCACGTGTCAGAGGGACATGCCACGTTCCGAGAAGCAGCTCTCCACGTGGCAGAGACTGACGCCGGTAAGGACATGAATTATTCAATGATTAACGAGGGCTTTAAACTGCACGGCACTCTTTTACCGGCATATTGTAGATGTTACCGGTATATCCCGTACAATTGGCATGGTGATATTTAGGATTTGGTTTGTAAATGTTGTGTTAACTACGAGTAACACGAGGCGAAGAAGGGGGTGATTGTGTGGGCCGAATGGCATTTTACCCCTTAAGGTAGCTGAGGGAGCGTGTAGGAGAATTATATGTACTGTGGTAGGAGTAGTGGGCTGATTGAGGAAAGTAGGCCCAATAAAAGAATTGGATGGTGATGTGTGTGAGGTGGCACGACAGGTTGGCTGTGTGGGGAAGTCGGTCCAGCAAAAATATTACATAAAATTATAACAATAAATTTGCTTAAGATCATGAAAATTATAAAAAATTAATATACTATCAATACATAACTCCTCTCACGTAGCATGTAACTTATATACTATATGTCAGAGGGTAGCACAAATAACGCCGATCAAAGTGGAGAATAATAATCTAATATATATAAATAAAGTAGGTATTTTTGGAGAGCATTGGGAGCGCCACATAAGAAAAGTTATATTTTTAACCAATTAAAAATTAGATTTTTATTTTATTTTAGAATTAAAAAAATCACTCGCCACCTAAACAAAAGTGACGAATAAAATTTAAAATTTTTGCCACGTAGGTAAAAACGACGAATAGTAATTTATTAGGATTTTTATTTTTTAAGAACACTAAATTTTATCCTTTTTATTTGTTACAAAACTAAAACTAATCTTTAGATATTAGGATTTATATTATTTTAAAAACTTAAAATTAAATTTTGATATTTAAAAAATATAAATTATCATTCGATGTTAATGGTTTTATGTAAATATCTGATGATATAATCCACCAAAAAAATATTTATATACTAAATGTATGTAGAAATTCGTGCATCGCACGCCACATAAGCAAAAGTAATATTTTGACCATTGAAAAATTAGATTTATATATTAATTTAGAATTTTAATTTTCAGTCTCCATTTAAGATATTAACAAATGAAATTTGAGAATTGAAAACAAAAAATAATAATTTAAGATTTAAATTATGAAAAAAAAACAAAAATTATCTTTTACATTAGGATTTATATTACTTTAACGAATAATTAGAAATTAAAAAATATATTTTGATTTAATGATTTTATCTAATTATCCGATGAATGAGATAATATTTATTTCAATTTATAAATTCAAGTTCTATAATTTAGAACTTAACCAAATATTTTACCTTAAATTAATGTTAAAATAATAGAATAGAAAATAAAAACAAAAAAAATTAAGAAATTACAAAAAAAATATACAAAATGAAATATTTAAAAACCGTGCATCGCACAGGCTTACATCTAGTTAGAATAAATAGAGGACATTTAGAGTTCCAATTCTTCATCCACAACAATCAAACAAAAGAAAATTACATAAAATTATATCAGTATACATATAAATGATCATGGCGAATCAATCATTTTCAACCATTTTGATGTTGGCTCTCTTCTTGGCATTTCTAATGGGCACACTAGCTGGTATATCTTTGTTTTCCCCTTCATCTTTTGCTTTGATTTCGTCTTGTACGCTTGCTAACTGTCTAGCTTAATCGATTTTGCTAACCATTGACTACGAACTTGAGTTATATTTTTATTATAGCGAATGATGTATAATGGTGTACGTATGTTTATGTATACAGCTTCTGATACAGTGCTTGGCTGCTTTGCAAGAGGAGTCAGTTGTGTTACGGATGACGATTGTTGTCTCCCTCAATGTATCCAATATGATGATCAACATTCCTTTTGCGCTATTTAAGATCGCGGTGCATTCATAATTGACAACTATACCTTTACCATATGATCGGTCGAGCTACATGAATAAGTAAACAAGTCGATCTATTTCGAATTTGGTGTATGTGTGATTAAGGTTATGCTAGGACTTGTGAAGGCGAGTAATTTATGGATCAGACGCATGCTCTATCTTACGGAGTATTAAATTACTAGCATAACAATAGTATAATTTAATTATGTACGTATGTTATGTAACATTGTTTTAAATGAGATGCTAAGCAATAAATTCTTGTCATTTACCCTTTTTCTTTTAGGGATCGAAACATGTCATATACTTTACTTTACTTCATATGTTTGGTTAACCAATTTCAATTATTCCTAGAATATGATGCCGTAATGATTTTAGAAGATGAATTAAACTTGAATATGCTTAAGTTAGATATGATGTATAAAATATGAGTATATATGATCAAAATTCATGAAATAATTTGTATCATGTTACATATTTTTACAAAGAGACCCAAAAAAAAAAAAAAAAAATAAAAAATTCTTAAAAAGTCTTTTATTCATGGCAAAAATCTCCAAGATACACCAAGTTTAGCTAGCTAAAGTTCAGTAAATCCAGCAACAAACTTTAATACAGTAAGAGTAAAAACAATGGATGCAACAATCACAGATAAAATCATCCATGGATGAGTACAGTAATCTCTCATAAAAATAGTCATCCATCGATGCCAACTAGTCGAAGCGTACTTGTTCACATCACGGCAAGTATCGGAGTAATAATAGCTGGTTGTTAGATTTAAGTGTTTGCCAATGTTGGTAAAAAGTTTTTTAACATCTTCGTCACTTCCTAGATAATTATCGAAAATTTTGCTTTTAATCAGTACTTGCACGTCTTCCACGGTGTCTACCAATTCGTCGAGGAAGAAGATGTAATCAATGAAGTAAGAATCCTTGGAATAATGGCAGTGCTCAAAGTATATCAGGTTCCTGAATAAAGATTCCGTAACATCACTTATATCTAATTTCGAAATCTTTAGCTTCCCTTTCGAAAATGTTATTTCGAGTGGGTTTTCACTTTCACTTGGTACAAATTTAACTCCATAGTCTTTTAGTTTCTTAGCAGTGTAACGAAGATGAATATTGTCATACTCGTCGTTTTCTCTCTTGGTAAAACATAGTGACGATAATGAATGAACCCAAGACATTGCCTCGTGCATGTATGAGATAGAATTATCAACTGTTATATTTGTGTTTTCAACTGTTTCATTTGTGTTTGGTTGGGTGCACAATGGATTCGTTTGTATAGGGTCGCGCAATGGTATGTTCAAAGAAAGGTAACAGGACATCCTCTGGAGATCCACTAGATGTTTTATGCTTGATTCATCTGTAATTTTCTCGCCGTTGATAATACTCCCAATAACCTTGTCTCCGGGGATACCAAAGGTCTTGCGCATGTAATCAAGAGTGAAAAGAATGGGTCTAGGGTTTAAATTCCCAAATGCCTTGTTACATATTTCCTTAAAAACAAAAAAAGGGAGTTGGTTTTCTAGCAGAAATAAATCTTTCGCTAAGTATGGCATTAGTCCTTGTAGCTTATTCTCTATAGAAGGTTCATGAATTGAATATCTGTTCTCAAACGTAGGAATTTTGCACATGAAATAATAAACCAAGAATGCAGCATCGAGCACTATCATTTCAATAAACTCATTGCTAGAGATATCATTGAATTGATGTTGATAAGAGCCGCGAATTTCCCATTCCTTTTCCCTTACAAAATTGATGTAAGGCTCCAAGCTTGGATAAGCATTGTAGGGATTTTTAAGGAAGTAATCCAAGTAAATCCATTTAACCTCTTGCATGGTTTCTAAATTTTCATCTTTATAGTAGACGGGGCCAATTGACATGACCGAAGGTTGATAAAATTCTTCGTTTCCTTTCAAGATAAACTCAGGAACTTTATAAATGCAACAGATATCAGAGACAACACAAGGCAAGGATTCCAATTTGATTTTCATTGAAGCTGCCACCTCATTATTAATTTGATCTGGCTTTTTTAGAGGTTTGTTTTCCATCTGCGTTAATGTGATTAATCATACAATGTAAGTAAATAGGAACTTCATTAAAGAGGAAAATTTACTTCAAATTCAATGTCCCACTTTAAAATTATTATATTCCAAACTATTATACTTAGGAATTAGTATATATTCAATGTGTTACAATAAGTAACATAAGCATGGATTAAAATTTCCAAATCCACAATATACGTGCTTCACCCTATAAGGTTATATATCTATCATAAAATATGTAGTACGTAGTTAAGCCCAAAAGTCCAACACGCACGGTTAATGTGGCTTAAAAACATGATGTGAATTTTTGGTATCCTTATGATTGGTGAGGGAACAAAGCAAGCAAGCAACGAAGAAGGAGATTCACCATAAGGAGACAGTCTGGTTAGTGGGGAGGCCGGGTGGTCATGACCATCAACTGCAGAGTCTGGTTTGCTAGGTGCTCGTCCGGCAGGTACTCCTATTGAGCAGAATCATACTCTGGCGAAATCAGAGTCCTCTTTCTTTTCTGATCCAGAGCAGTATCGACAGCTTGTGGGCCGTCTGATTTATTTGTCTTTTACTAGACCGGATTTGGCATACGCGGTGCATATTTTATCCCAATTTATGCAACACCCGCGACAGGACCATTGGGAAGCGGCTCTTCGTACAGTGCGGTACTTGAAGGGATGTCCGGGTCAGGGTATCCTTTTGAGTTCAGATTGTGATTTCCATATTACATGTTGGTGTGATTCAGATTAGGCCGGTTGTCCCTTGTCGCGCCGTTCTATCTCTGGCTGGTTGGTGTTTCTTGGGGCTTCTCCTATATCTTGGAAGACTAAGAAACAGGACACTGTGGCCAAGTCTTCTTCAGAGGCCGAATTCCGCTCAATGTCTAAAACTACTGATGAGTTGAAATGGTTAAAGGCCCTTCTTCTGAGTTTGGGTGTCTCACATCCCCGTGCTATGAGTTTGTTTTGTGATAATCAATCAGCTTTGTATATTGCGAAGAATCTGGTTTTCCATGAGCGTACCAAGCACATTGAGGTGGATTGTTATTATCTTCGTGATGCGATTTAGGATGGTATCATTAGTCCGTCTTATGTGAAGATAACGGATCAATTAGCGGATATATTCACCAAGGCTTTGAGTAAAAGTCAATTCATGTATTTACTTGGCAAGTTGGGCATTTGTGATTTGCATGCTCCAACTTGAGGGGGTGTTAGGGCCTATTATTATGTATAGTGTATAGTTATCGGGCCTATTTCATGAGCCCTAATCTTTTTGCTAGGTTGTATATATACGCTTGCTATACTCTAATGAAAACTACGGAAAATTATTTCGTGACACTCGATGTGGACAACAATATTACGTTGTAGACAATAACTTGATTGCTTGCTAGCTTTTCCTTAATAAATTTCTTGGCTTGGTTGATTTATTGGACTCTAGTATCTTTATTTCTATTAAATTGTATTTATTGTAGAAAGATATATATGTAAACCACAAATTGTTATATACGGACCAGCTACTTTGAGGTTATTTTGTCAGTGTTATAGGAGTTACTTTGTCGGTTTTGTAGAAGTTATGTTACTCAGTCAATTTTTGTTGGAGTTACTCCGTCAATGTTGTAGGGGTTATTCGGTCATAGTGTATGTTATAGAGGTTACTTAGTCTTTTGTATAGGGGTTACTTTGTTATTTTACAAGCGGTCACACGGTGTGCCCAGCCACATAGAAAACAACCTGTTGTAAATTTAAGTGTACATGTGTAATTTATGCAAGATAAGAGAGGTACGCTGGTACACTTGTTTATTGTAATTTTTGTTTGCAATTCCCATTTTCTACTTGTGTTTGTACATCTTTTTACCCTTTATTACTTTATTCAACCTTTTCTTATACTTTTTCGCTTCATAATGTTGGTCCCATATACAATTTTGGGCGTTTTAAAAAGTTTTACTCATATTGAATATATTTCCTTTATAACTTGATTTTTTTTTGGAATTAACTGATTGTGGATTGATGACATGACTCTAAGTAAGGGAATTTTTACCTTAAATTATGCAATTATGACTTGTGCTTTCCTAATGAAAAATAAAAAAAAAAAAGTTAAATAAGGTAAACTAATTATGAAATATGTTGTACTTAAATGTTATATTACAAATATATTTGTTTTCTTATTTTATGTGATTGATTCCATATGGGACTAACATTATGAAACGGAGGGCGTATCATTCTATACTCTATTATGAAATTTGTGTTGTGAGAGTAGAAATTTCCAATTTTTTTAATTTTAAGTATTATTATTAAACTCAAATTACTTACTCTATTCGCTGTTATTACACACAAATTTGGTTATAAATATCTTAATTAATTGAAATACATTGCAGATCCATTGATATTAATTTTTTAAGTTAAATTGAATTTTATTTTATTTTTTTACCTTTTGTTTTTTTATATAACATAACTAATGGCTTAGGACTTCAGATCATGTGCTAATTGATCTACATGCATAAGATATCAGATTATTGTAGACTAATCTTAATATTTCAAAAGCAAGTGTATCTCTCTTTGTCCTTAAAATGGTTCAATGTACAGCTTGGAAAACTTCATTGCGTTCTCTTAGACATTATATATTGAAACAATACATTAAATAGAAGTATTATATATAAATAGATTCCTCGTAGAAATTACCTCATACATTGGATATTCAAAATGCAGTTTTAAACAAGCACCTTTCGGGTTTTGATCAGAAACGGATGCGCCCAGCGGCTAGAATAATACTGTATCAAAATTCAACAAAAAAAAAATACTATGTTTAGATAATAATAATAATATAAAATAGGATTGAATTGAATGACAAAATATCACAAAGTATTTTTACTCCATATTTTTAACTCATTTTTTGCCGCCCTAACTAAAATTTCTAGCTATTAATAACATTTACTCTTTGAGAGTGCGTGATAGCTCAAGTGGTTTGAGCTTCCCTCCCGGTTTCAAGAGATTCTAGGATCGATTCTCACCCCTTTCTTGTGGCTCTTTAAACACCAATAATAATAATAATAATAATAATAATAATAATAATAATAATAATAATAATAATAATAAATAACATTTACACTTTAAGTAAATTTGTGAACGTTTGATTTTCTTGATTAACTAAAAAAAATCGTTTTCCTTGAATTATTTCTGCTTCTCTAAACAAAGAAACAATAATTCTTTTTGACAACTAATTGTAAATCATTGAGATATGAGAGCAAATAAAGGTTTTAGAGTAGCCAAATTTTGTAATTTGAATTGAAAGAGAAATAAACATACCAGATAATATGAGGATCTGAGTTCAAGAGTTATTGCACCACAAAGTTAGCGATCTAATAAGAAAAGGAGATGAAGTGTGAAGGATTACTAATTATTGATGACTTCAAATAAGGTGAATTCTTCTATCTTATTTAAAAGGACAGTACATCTCACTTATTAACATTTTTAATTAGCTAGAAACTAGAAAGTTCCTTTTATTTCTGACTTATTTTTATATTTCCTCGTTTTGGAGTTACATGCATGTTCATGAGTGCACATTTATGATTTATCTATCGATATATTTGTAATTACGTTAAGTACAAAATATGTAAATATTTGATATTCTGAAAATAATCATTGAGACATATCAAGCTGTAAGATTCCAAACAAACAAAGGAAGTATTTTGGTTCCACTTGCTTGCATAATGTCGGATTAATTAGAGTGTGGACTTTTTGTAAGTTCCATCTGTTGGCAGATAATTAAGAAACATAAAGAAAAAAAATAAATGGTTATTAAATAACCATGCATTACCATTGAAAACTAAAGGTGTTTCCAAATATAGGGAAAAATAACTAATGGTAATAAATATTGCAGGCTAAATTTTAAATGGCTTAGCTTGTTTTAGGAAAACTATAAATTGAGCATTTCCTTCATTTGTATGTAATAATTTCAAGAGAAAATCTGAGAGAAGAAAAATAACTTAGAGAAAAGAGGGATTGTGTTTTTTGCACTTTGGTATAAATAGACATTTTGTTTATGTAATTTATTTCTCCCTCAAATTTGATTAAATAGAAAATTTGCATTATTTTCTTAACAATTGGTATCAAGAGCTTGGTTGACAATTAGTCCACATTACGATAAAAATAAAAACGATCCTAAAAGAAAAAGTCAAATTTGAGTGGGAGAAATGGCTGCAGACAAAGGAGAAGTTAAACTTGAAAAATTCGATGGTAAAGATTTCGGATTTTGGAAAATGCAGATTGAAGATTATTTATACCAGAAAAAACTCTATCAACCTCTGGAAGAGAAAAAGCCAGATAGCATGCAAGAAGCAGAATGGAAGCTTTTAGATAGACAAGCACTCGGAGTTATTCGATTGACGTTATCACGCAATGTGGCGTTTAACATTGCAAAGGAAACCACAACGGCAGGTCTCATGAAAGCTCTCTCTAATATGTATGAGAAGCCATCAGCCTCCAATAAAGTTCATTTGATGAGGCGGTTGTTTAGTTTGAGGATGTCGGAAGGTGGATCGGTAGCTCAACACCTTAATGAACTCAATTCTGTCACAACCCAATTGAGTTCTGTTGAAATCAAATTTGATGATGAAGTATTAGCGTTAATACTTTTATCTTCCTTGCCAGATAGTTGGAATGCTACAGTCACAGCTGTGAGTAGCTCATCGAGAAATAACAAGTTGAAGTTTGATGACGTTCGTGATCTGGTTCTTAGTGAGGAGATTCGACGAAGAGAATCAGGTGAATCTTCATCCTCTTCAGTATTGCATACAGAGTCAAGAGGAAGAAATTTAATCATAAGGAATGAACGCGGAAGATGAAACTATCGAGGACAATCTAGAGATAGGAGGTTAAAATCCAGGAATCCAAATAATTTCCAAAACTCAAAGACTGTGGAGTGTTGGAATTGTGGAAAGATTGGGCACTATAAAAATCAGTGCAAGGGAACACCAAAAGGCAAAGAAGTGAAGGCAGAGGCAAATGTCACTTCTACCG